TCCTCGTGAATGTTTCCCCAAGCATGACATCGTGTGCGGCTCGGATGGCGTCAGCTACAGAAACCCCTGCGAGTTTAAATTTGCTCAATGCGACAACCCCAACCTGGTCCGTCGTGCCCAATGGCACTGTGATGGCATACGGGTACGCCCGACGAAGGATGAATGCGATCGTCATGATGGTACATGTACCCGCGAGCATAACCCCGTGTGCGGCTCGGATGGGAAAACCTACGGCAACCCCTGCGTCTTTGAATTTGCTCAATGTAAAAAACCCAACCTGACCCTTCAACACTATGGGCAGTGCGTCGGGACATAATGCTGACCTTGCATCAGAGTTGTAATGGATCGAGATTCGAGGACCAGATAGTAATCGTAATACAAGAACTCTGGCTCATCATTGGTTTGTGGAGTACAGATACAGCTCGAGGGTCAAAGCCTGGAACGGAGTTACGTTGTCGTTTTAGGCAAAGCATATTGTCCTGATAAACGTTATCCTGATGAAATCTCTTGGAGGATAAGTGCCGCATCTGCTCAACTGCTTTCAACGATTGCGAAACCTACTTGCATCCCAGTACAACACAACTGGCCTTCGTTCGAGGCAGGACGTGAGTGGCTAACTTGATGGTTGCATCGTCGTTGCAACATCGATGTAGGGGCAAAGTTGAGTGGCTAACTTGATGGTTGCATCGTCGTTGCTACATCAATGTAGGGGCAAAGTTGAGCAGATGTGGCACTTATCCTCCAAGAGATTTCATCAGGATAACGTTTATCAGGACAATTTGCTTTGCCTAAAACGACAACACAACTCCGTTCCAGGCTTTGAACCTCGATCTGTGCCAAGAATGCATTCATTCTTCGTAAGGCGTACTGGGCGTGCCGGGCGTACCGGGCGTGCCAGGTGTACTGGGCGTACTGGGCGTACTGGGCGTACTGGGCGTGCCGGGCGTGTTGGGCGTACCGGTATGTCGTCACAGTGCCCTTTAGCACGAAGGAACAGGTTGGAGTTGGCGCATGCAGCAATTAGAAATTCGCAGAGGTTGCCGTAGCTTTGGCCATCCGAGCCGCACACGAAGGCGATGTTGCGGTGGCATG